GATTGTTTTTTATTTCCTATTAGTTAGGATTAATTGTAATTAATTAGAATTAATTGTGATTAGGTTTAGTGAGTCATAGCTGAGTCATTCTTATGATTGTGATTAGGTTTGGTGAGTCATAGCTGAGTCATGTTTAGCTATTTTTTCTTGTATAAATACTCCTCATTCCTCATGTAATTATTCAATATCGATATACTGAAAACCTTTTTCAATATGGTATCAGAGCAGGTTGGTCCTGAGAAAACTCGGCCACCACAACCACCTTCAAACCGGCGGCACAACGCCGGAAAACTCAACCTCTAACCATTATTAAGGTTATTTTCCATTCCTACTAAGTCCCAAGAGCAAAGTAAGGCTACCAATTACTGTAGAAGGCAAAATCCCAACTTTCCACCGCCGTCAGCCACTTCAGCGGTCGTCGGAAAATTTTTCCGGCGACATTTCCGACCAAGATCCGCACCATTCGAAACAGAAGGAGCCGATCTACAAGTTTCAAGAAGGACCATCGGATTCTGCTGAGCCACGCGCTAGAGACAGGACGGAGCGTCCGCCCTACGCGTTACCACACGCAGCCATGTTGATTGAAAGTAAATTTCTATCCAGCAATGTTGCTCAACAAGGTATAGCGTTCCATGTTGATAATAGTAGTCGATGGATTCTTGATTCAGGGGCTTCAGATCATATGACAGGTAATGCAACCTTATTTTGTTCTTATATCCCTTACTATCAACAATTACGAATAAGAACAGCAGATGGCAACTTCTCTACTATTGCTGGAAAAGGATCCATTAAACTTTCTGAACACATTACTTTGAACTCAGTCCTTCATGTTCCCTCTCTTACTTGTAACCTTATCTCTATCAGCAAACTTACGTCTGAGTTACATTGTGTTGCCAAGTTTTCTGTCAATACTTGTGTTTTCCAGGAACAGAACTCGGGGCTGATGATTGGCAGTGCTAAAGAGGAAGAAGGACTTTATTATTTAGAAAAAGATTCTTGTGAAGGAAAAAATTTTGTGAACCACTCGGTATGTTTGTCTGATGATTGTAATGATGTTTTGTTGTGGCATCGTCGGTTAGGACACCCAAATTTCATTTATCTTCAGAAGTTTTTCCCAAGCTTATTTATCAATAAAAATCCCAGTTCTTTTTCTTGTGATATTTGTCAGCTTACAAAACATTCTCGTGTTTCTTATCCTCCTAGAGTCCATCATGATTCTTCTCCATTTACCTTGATTCATAGTGATATATGGGGTCCAACCCGTGAAAAAAATATCTCTGGTGCTCGTTGGTTTATAACTTTCATAGATGATCACTCTAGGGTATGTTGGGTATACCTTCTAAAGGATAAGTCTAACGCTGCATCCATTTTTAAAAACTTTCATGCTATGGTTCAAACTCAGTTCCAGACCTCTATCCAAATTCTTCGAACTGACAATGGTACTGAATATTTTAATTCTGTTCTTGGAAACTATCTCAGCCAGCATGGTATTCTTCATCAAAGTTCTTGTCCTAACACCCCTCAACAAAATGGGGTGGCTGAAAGAAAAAATAGACATCTCTTTGAAGTTGCTCGAGCTCTTATGTTTACCATGCATGTCCCTAAATATTTGTGGGGGGAAGTTGTCTTGACTGCAGCATACCTCATCAATCGGATGCCTTCTCGTGTCCTAAATTTTCAATCTCCTTTATCTTGTCTTACCCACACCTTTCCTTCTTTCCGGGCTCATTCTTCCCTTCCTCCCAAGTTGTTTGGCTGTGTGGCTTTTGTACATGTTCCTCCCCGTCAAAGGTCCAAGCTCGATCCTAAGTCCATTAAATGTGTCTTCATAGGATATCCTCCTAACCAAAAGGGCTACAAGTGTTACTCATCTTCACTTCGTAAGGTCTTTGTTTCTATGGATGTCACATTTGATGAGACAATCTTTTTTTCCTTCGACTTCTCTTCAGGGGGAGTCTATTGGGGTTGATGAAGATAAGTCTTAGAAACCAAATGATTCTGTTGTTTTGCCTTTGCCGTTAGAGACAGGGGGAGTCATTATGCAAAAGACAGGGGGAGTTAATATGTCAGATAATGGAGATCCTCCCAGGAAATGGGGAAAGTTTTACAGCAGGCGAGAATCACCTCAGGAGCCTCTAGACTGCCAGGATTCTGACTTGAGTCTTAGTTCCAGCAACATTGATACAGCCAACCTAGATGTGCCTATTGCTCTCCGAAAAGGTACTAGATCTTGTACTGCTCATCCTATTTCTCATCATATCACATATGAAAAGTTGTCCCCAGGTTTTCGTGCTTTCAACACTATGTTAGACAGTACAAAAATACCAAAAAATATCCAAGAAGCACTTGATGATCCAAAATGGAGGAATGCAGTCTTTGAAGAAATGGATGCACTCAACAAAAATGGAACTTGGGAGTCTGTAGCATTACCCAGAGGAAAGAAAACAGTAGGTTGCAAGTGGGTGTTCACAATAAAGTTTAATGCAGATAACAGCATCAACAAGTATAAGGCCAGACTGGTTGCTAAGGGATTCACTCAAACTCATGGGATAGACTATCAAGAGACATTTGCCCCTTGCCAAGCTTAATACTATCCGAGTTCTTTTATCACTTGCTGCAAATCTTGGTTGGCCCTTGCAACAATTAGATGTAAAGAATGCTTTCTTGAATGGTGATCTACATGAAGAAGTTTATATGGATCCACCACCTGGTTTTGAAAATGGAGACGATTCAGTATGCAAGTTGAAAAAGTCTCTCTATGGTCTTAAACAATCTCCTAGAGAGTGGTTTGAGAAGTTTACTCAAGCTGTTAAGGGAAGAGGATTCCTCCAAGCTCAGACTGATCACACTTTATTTTTAAAACACTCTAATGGTGGTAAAATTGCTATTCTCATTGTTTATGTTGATGACATAATTGTCACAGGTAATGATTGCGAGGAGATAAGCTCTTTGAAGAAATGTTTAGCTAATCAGTTTGAACTGAAGGATCTTGGATCTCTCAAATATTTCCTAGGCATGGAAGTTGCTCGAAGTAAGGCAGGAATTTCTTTAACTCAGAAGAAATATATTCTAGACTTGTTACAAGAAACAGGAATGCTTGGGTGCAAGCTAGCAGAGACTCCAGTTGAACCCAATATTAAATTGGGAATCGAAGATGGGAAAGAAGTTGACAAAGAGCAGTATCTGAGATTGGTGGGGAAGTTTATCTACTTATCTCACACTCGGCCTGATATTGCATTTGCAGTTAGCATGGTTAGTCAATTCATGCATTCTCCTGAGGAAAAACACCTGAGTGCAGTTTATAGAATTCTGAAGTATCTCAAAAACATCCCTGGTCGAGGATTGTTCTTTAAAAGAGGACACAAGAGGATGATTGAAATATATACAGATGCAGATTGGGCTGGCTCTGCATTGGACCGAAGATCCACTTCAGGATATTGCACCTATATTTGGGGAAATCTTGTGACCTGGAGAAGTAAGAAACAAACAGTTGTTGCCCGGAGCAGTGCAGAAGCAGAATTTCGGGCTCTAGCCCATGGTATTTGTGAAGGAATTTGGTTAAGAAGACTCCTTGAGGAATTGAAGATCTCTTTTTCCCCACCTGTCAGAGTGTATTGTGATAATAAGGCTGCTGTCAGTATTGCTCAAAATCCAGTTCACCATGACAGAACAAAACATGTGGAGGTTGATCGCCACTTTATCAAAGAAAAAATAGATGATGGAAGTGTATGTATGGTGTATATTCCTACCAAAGAGCAGATTGCAGATATTCTCACTAAGGGCCTACACCGGCCAGCCTTTGAAGACTTGATTGGCAAGTTGGGAATGATCAACATTTACCTCCCAACTTGAGGGGGAGTGTAGAAAATCAGAATTCAAATTCAAATATTTTTCCGTTTTTATTTATTAGGAATAATTAAGATTAATTATGATTGATTGTTTTTTATTTCCTATTAGTTAGGATTAATTGTAATTAATTAGAATTAATTGTGATTAGGTTTAGTGAGTCATAGCTGAGTCATTCTTATGATTGTGATTAGGTTTGGTGAGTCATAGCTGAGTCATGCTTAGCTATTTTTTCTTGTATAAATACTCCTCATTCCTCATATAATTATTCAATATCGATATACTGAAAACCTTTTTCAATACAACTACATGTAGGTTTCTCAAGACCGTCAATGAGTGCCTTGAGTTGTCCAATTTCTTCCTGATTTAGGCCTTCAATGGGTGCAGGATTTTCAGATATAGCAATGCTACTAGTGGTGTATTCATCATGAGATGCCATCCTTAGTTCAGCTTATATGGTGAGGAAGGAAAAATATATTATGGATTAAAGGGTTTTTTTTTCTTTAAAAGAAGCAGCAATTAAGGCTACTATAGGAAAACAAAGAAAAAAATTGGCAATGAAGGCCAAAAAATTATCAGAGGGTTGCAGCGGTAGCGGTCAGAGCAGTCCCAAATTGGTACTGCTCCGATACCATGTAAAGAAATATAGAATATAGAACTGGTTTTGAGTGAAATGCATCCAGCAGCATGCTATTTATACACAATGATTTAGTAAATACAAGTGATATTTACAAGACCACTTCCTAGACATTTAATGTTAGTGCTCCATTATAAATTATGACAATTTCCTATGCCACTAATGGTTCAACTTCCTATGCCACCAATGGTTCAACTTCACATAACAATAGCCATTTACAAATATATATACCATATAAATGGGATATTGGAAGAGTTGATGAAAAATAAATATGTTAATTTCAGCTAATAAGAGACGGTAAAAGATGGTTATTGTTAACCCAGCCATATATGAATTTATTGTCATCTGCTTGATACAAGAAATTATTTGAAATGGATCAAATAGTAATGCCAAAATGAGAAATAAAGAAAATGGAGAAGCATGAAAAGTATGAGCAATTGCTACTAGCCGGATACTGTTACGTAGTGACACAAACATTATGCTATTGGTGTAATGAAAGATATTAGAAGAACAAAACCTTTGGATTAGTAACAATAACTCCAAATGCACTGAAAGTATCATACAAGAGCTTCTCATCTACATCCTGCAGCAACATCAGGAACAGTCATGTTAAATCTCAAAGCTCAACACATGAGTTTGTTAAACACTCGCACAATTTGGTGACTTACAGGATCAAGGTTTCCAATGAAAAGGTTTGCCCCAACATCCAAGCTCTTTTTATCTTGGGATGCCTGGAACCAAAAAATAGTAAAATAATACTCTTTAATAAAGTAGCATTGATGCTGATTTCTCTTTGATCAAGTGACATGGACATTGATGTAAGATTGAAATACAGCAGGACTTCAACAGAGTACAACAAAGTTCGTAAAAACAAAAAGTAAATATGATAGATTAATTAACATGTGGAGAAAAAAAGATATTCAATTGTAAGAGTGAATGATATCTTGGAATGACACACAACAAGGGCTGGGAAAAATAAAAGATGAATATTACATATTAGTTAGTACTTAAAACACAATTGGTGTGCAAGAATGTGGATTCATTCTTGCATACCTTCCGTGGAATGAGGATACCTATGTTTAGTATAAGAAAAAAGACATGGAAAGTTAATTCCATTATACGACTCTAAGCCTAGACTCCTCAAAGACAAGAACTGACATTCGATCCGAAAGTGGTGGTAATGGAGAGTCTGGCAACAATGAACCAGTTGATGCTTGCTTTGTTTCCTTATTTATCATAATTAATACTTTCATTCCACACGCAAACATATAATTAACATGATTCCACTCAAAAGAGAACCAAGCGTGCGCTCTCTCTCTCTCTCTCACTCTCTCTCTCTCTCTCTCTCTCTCTCTCTCTCTCTCTCTATATATATATATATATATATCACACACACACACAGAGGACAAGAGTCACGGTATAAGATTCATATGGAATACCTTATTTACACGTATTGGTTTTCCATAGAGTTTAATCATGTTAAGCACCTTGATGGCCTGCAATGGAAGAAAAAGAATAGCAAATAGTCAACCATTAGTCAGCAGCTGCTAGCTTTAGAGAGGTTGCATGTGTGATTTGCAAATAAATGGTCACAGTTTTCGAGAACACTTACATAGTCAGCATCTTCTTCACTCCGGAATTCAACAAATCCATAACCTTGATGTTGGTTGGTCACTCTGTCTTTTGGAACATAGACATTTACTGAAACAAATGAAAGGAAAAAAAGCTTATATCCAACCCTGAAATATCAAAGAAAATCAATCACAATAAAAATTTAGTTCCAGATGATGAGACATACCCACTGGACCTGCCTGAACAAACAGCTCCCACAATAACTCCTCAGTTATCTGATAGTAGGCAGCACACAAGAAAATCAGTTAACCCTAGAACTGGTAATTAGGGGTGAAGGGTTTGTGGACAGCAGGAAGCATAGAGAAAGTGGAAAATAGGAACCTGAGGGTCCAGATTTCCGACATAAGCAGTAGCATCTTGATTCCTCTCCGCCGAGTGTTGACCCAACAAATTTGCTCCCACACCAGGTGCTATTCGAGTTGTCATCGAACAACCTTACACTCAAAGGACGGGGAAATTAAGGTAAACAAGTATGTGGGTTCAATTCAGTTTGCCTTTCGGAAAACAATTTGATTAAATCAAACCAAACCAACCCAATCATATTCAGGTTAGATCAATTCAGGTTTTACATATATTTATTTTTATAAAAACAACATTACAAAAAAATACAGGAGAAAAATAAAATTTAAATCCTATTCTTCTACAAATATGCTTGAAGATGCATACTTAAAAATTAAAACCGAAGTATGAAACCCAAAAGAAAGTAGGACATTTACCATAATAGATGGATGTGACAAACCTACCAAGCAATAATGTATGCACAAGCTAACCGTGTCTCTGCCAATGCAATGACATGCAAATTGCCTGATGAAAACAGAACTCCATCTTATTTCCCTATTTACTTTTTCTACATTTTTTATCGCCCTCCCCAAAAAACGAAAACATATAAACCTCGGGTTCTAGCATCCACATATGGCCAATATAGATGAGACCCGAGATTCTGAATAAAGATATGAAACAGACAAATCCATTTATGAACTAATCCCCCATATACAAAACAGCATCTATGATTATGACCATTTAACCGGTGATTTTGTATTTTATCAAACACAACACTCCTTCTTTTCGAAACAAAATCCAATATATAAATCACTACAAATTAATCACAGGACAGAAGTAAAACCAAAGACAAGTTTCAAACATTCATTCATCCAAAAAAAAGAGTTACACTATCAAAAACTCAACTGTCAGCATATATCACACATTAGTTTAATTTCCAAAAATTTCAGACATTTCATCAAACAGGTCGTAGGCAAGTATGCATATAGATTAAATCCTCAAAGTACTTATAACCCGCCCTACACAAGGCATCAAGCATCACTCATCACTCTACATGATGTAGGTAGACTTAATCATCGATACAAACTAGAGCATGGACCCAAACTTATACTGGAGGAAAAAATAAATAAATGAGAAACACGAAAAAAAATAGTAATAATTGAGAAAATTATTCTAATTCTTCCTTCCTACGTGAAATGTGAATGCATATCAAATTATCAATACCTTCAGATCAAGGGCTTACCGTGAACCAAAGCCTTGAGAAGCAGAAGGCAGGAGAATGAGACCCCAAACCGTCACCACGCAACGCGTGAGCTCTGAACTTTGAAACCAACTGGTCTATGGCGAATGGGCAGGGCCACGGAGAAGTAATCGGCGCCGACGGTAGGGTTTGGCTAGCTTCACGGTGACAAAACGATAGAAACCCAAGGCTAGGGGTTTTGGTTCAAAACTTGATATTTCACCACCCATCAAAACGCACCGTTTTCAGAATTTATAATATGGGCCGGGTTGGACGGTTTAAAAAATGTTTAATCCGAAACCCAACAGAAATAATTGCGCTTTTACTCACTTTCACTTGGTTTTTTAATTGATGACTTTTCACTTATAATCTCTTACAATTTATTTTTTATTATTTATTTTTATTAATTTAATAATTATAATTTATTAGGTTATATTTATTAATTAATTATTAATTTTCATAAATTATAATGGATGAATTGACAAAAATCAATGGTAAAAAAATAGGTTGTAAAATTTTTAGGTTGAAAGAATAACGCCCCTCTTTATAATTAGAAATACATTATAAATTTTATTTAAAAGATGAAGTATAATATTATAATTATTAATGAAAAATTATTAGAATGAATTTTAATAATTCTATAATTTATAATATGTATATTTCTTTCAAAATTTTAACCATTACTTTGCCATTACATTTAAAATTATAAAAATTATCCACATTTTTCATTTTGAAATACCCTCGTCACTTTATCACATATTCTTTTTACTCAGGTACCCAAACTAAATCAATCAGAATTTTTCATGTTGAATAAGATTGGGAGATACAATGTTATAAAAACTAACCTGACCCTGTGGATTCGACTAGTTGATTTGTAAATCGGATCTCTAATTAGTCCGATTTAGATATTGAACCGATTATTCATTTGATCCGATATAAAATCGGTAAATTGGTTCTAATCTGGATTCAACTGACATTAAACTAGCATCGATTTTTTTAAAAAAAATTAGGTTTGTGGAATTTTGAACAAAATGCTTGAAAAATGCCACTAATGAGATTTGAACCTAAACTATGTGATTATAATTTAAAGCATTTACCACTAATTTTATATTTATTATATTTTATTATATATACTTAATTTATACAGTTAAACCAGTAACCCATTGGTTGAACCGGTGACCCATTGACCCAGTACCTCAATCGAGTTGATGACTGGTTCAAATTTGATAACACTGGTTAGATAGGTTCTCGGTGTTAGAGTTTCTATAATTATTGTGAGCCGCAATCAATTGTATTTATTTTTTTATTTTTATAAAAACAGACTAAATCACGATCCATGTGAGGGTGTAATGTAAAGCCCATTTAACTAAGTGATCATTTGGTTTGAACTTAGATATTTGTAACACTGATTAGTGTAGGTAAGAGTGTAAGCCTAACCTCACGATGAGAAGGAGAATAGAGTTAATAAGTTTGGCTAGGTCCCTCTGCATTTACTGTACGTTTCACTCCACAACTTGCCTCATTGATAGTTGTGATCAGGAAGTAGTGTGAATTGCAACCGAATATACTAGTCTTTCAAACCTTCGAAGTAAGCAATATACCTTTTTAAGAAATCAAGAATCATATCTGTAACAAGCATACCTATAGACCTTTTGGAATTTTAATTTTATATAATCATATTTTATGATTTCTTACACTCGAGTGTATCCAAGTGTTGATCGTACCTAAATCCTAGTCACTGAAATTGGCATTGTACATAGGTCAATTACGCCATTCACATTGAATGATCATTTGCTTGCATTGTCTTGCTTCCATTTTGTGCTATGTCATTACCACCCACTAAACTTGATTTGTACACCAATTTCCTCTATTTGAATTTTTCAGTATAAATTCTTACACTAAGATAATCATCACTTGCTTTTACTTCTTTTTTTTTTTGGTAAACAAAAAAGCCTATGGCCCGAAAAAGAAAAAACATGAAAAACTATCAATCCTAAGGAGGAAAGCACACGACAAGCTCCCTACACCCATAGAGGGAAGGTCTGCCATGTACAACAAATAAATACCACTAGGAGGTTCAGCATAAAATAAATGGTCCTCTTGATCTGTCGAATCTAGCAAGAAGTTAGCCAACCAGTCGGCACATATGTTTCCTTCTCTGAGAGTATGTTGAAGACGAACCTGCCAATCCATCTGTAACCACGTCCGTATACGAGAGAGCAAATGCACCTCACAGACTACTGCACCATTTTTGGTGAGCCCAGTGATCGCCAACAGCGAGTCATTTTCCAAGATAACTTTTCTGTAACCATCATTCCAAGCCTTCTCAAGACCTTTAAGGATGCCCCAAAGCTCAGCTCTAAATGAGGAACTAAAACTCAGTTTGTAAGCAAAACCTCCAATCCACTTCCCATTTGAATCACGAATCACACCCCCACAAGCCGCCCAAGCAAGATTACCACGAGCAGCCCTATATGTATTAACTTTCACAAAACCATAATCTAGAAACTTCCAACTAACATTGAAGATAGAATAAACTGATTTTTTATTCATCCCACCCATACCATGCAGTGCATCCTTTATATCCATCACAAGTCTCCTAACCACATCAGCTTTGATTATAGAATTTTTATTATAGAATTAGGGACCACTTCCTTTTGATTTACCATATTCCTCAACCACCAAATTTTCCAGCACATAAATAGGAAAGTGGTAAGCCATTTATCTGATACACCTACAATATCATTTGCAAGCCACTGCTTAGTATCTAATGTAAAAAAATCAGACACCTTTTGAGTCATAACAAGTATATCCTAAAGCAGTTTCATACCACTGCAATCTCTGAATACATAAATAATTGTTTCTGCTTCTGTCCAACAACAAGGACATGTATTATCACAATTGGTCCACGTAGAAATTATACTCTTTGTAAGCAAACGTTGATGCAATAGCTTCCACGCAAAGATTTTGATCTTTTGGGGACCTTTCCAACTCCACAAACGATTCCACATTCTCTTTGTTTCCTTATCAATTCTTCATTGATTTGTTAGGCAATTATACAAATCTTCCACATAAATAGAATTAGAATCCGGAAGAGACCACACCCTCTTATCAGCACCATCATCAAACCTGGGAGGGAGGATGATACAGATGACATCAATAACATTATTTGGCAACCACTACTGCAGTCTCTCAAAATCCCATTTGCCCGATGGAGATACAACATCTGCAACCTTCATGTTGTCAAATATCACATGATCTTCCTCCTCAACAAACTACTCAAGAGATCCTGAAATTGGAAGCCATTTATCCCTCCAATGCCTAATCTCCATTCCATTGCCTAACCGCCACACAAAATTATCCTCCAAAACATGCCACACTTTGCACAAATTTTGCCAGAGATTAGAATCACCTTTCTTTGCTTGAAACTTCATATCTCTTCTATGACCAGCCTTGTATTTCGCATGCAACACTTGACCCATAGATGATCTGGTTCAGAAAAAAAAAATTCCAAGCTTTTTTAGCTAAGAAAAGCATCATTCATTTGAGCCAAACGTCTCAATCCTAAACCACCGTGTAATTTTGGAGTTGTAATGACATCCAAACTAATGGAGTGGTGTTTACGGTTATTCTTTTTATCATCCCAAATGAAATCTCTCTGTAATTTCTCAATATTTTCCCTAACCATCAAAGGCAACTTACTACTGAGAAGCAGAAATTGAGGCCAGCACCGACTGAGAAAGTGTAACGCGTACTGCTTGTGAAAGAGTTTTCCCCTGCCAAATACTCAACTCGTCTTTAACCTTCTTCACAACCTCATTATATAAACTTTTGGTCATTCTACCTTGTTGCATCATAGCACCAAGATATCTTCACATATTCTTCATGCATTTAAAACCACTGATCTGCACAATTTTATCTATGTCATCCCTTGGGGTATTCTTAGAGAAATACACGCAAGTTTTCTCCACACTAAGCTTTTGGCCTGACATCTCCTCAAATAATTGCAGACACTTCATAAGAGTATGGATTTGATCCTTTTTTGCTTCCATGAACATCATCAGATCATCTGCAAATTCTAAATGAAAAATCTTCGGACCCCTAGTGCCAACACGGATAGGTTTCCAACGACCACCATTAGTAGCAGTAGAGGTGATATGAGTTAATTTTTCTAGTACCATTACAAACAGGTATGGGAGAGAGAATCCCCCTAGCGGAGACCTCTAGAAGAAGAGAACTCATCAGTTTTACCGCTATTCCATAACACATTGGTTCTAGTAGTGGAGATGCAATGCATGATAACATTGGCAAATGAATCCGGGAAATGAATTTCCTTCAATGGTTTGCGCAAGAACTTCCAACTCACTCTATCATAGACCTTGATGAAATCTATTTTAATAGCCATATATGTTTTTCTCCCCCTCATCCTACTCATGCTATGAATTAGCTCTTGAACAATTGTAATATTATCTTGAATTTGTCTATTGGGAACAAAACTCACCTGAAAAGGATAAATGATTTTATCCATCAGATGTTTGAGCCTAGTAACAATAATATTTGTCAGCAACTTCTACATGACTGAACATAATGAGATCGGACGAAATTGTGTAACAGAATCAGGCATTTTAATTTTAGGAATTAAAACCAAAAAGGATGAATTAACTTCTTCAATCTTGTTCGGGCAGTTCCACAAATTCTTTATTGCACACTAGACTTGAGCTCTTACTTTACTCCACTGTCTTTGAAAAAAAATTACAGGATAACTGTCAATCTCAGGGGCTTTGAATGCACCCATGGAAGAGAGGTTCTGCTATATCTCATGATCATTAGGAGGAATTATTAGTGACTGCAACTCATCATGAGAGAGCCTAGGCTACATATTTTTCGAATCAAGCCATCTTCTATCCTCAACTTCCTTTTTGAAAGATTTTTATAGAAATTACAGACATAAACCTCCATATCAATAGGATCCTCAATCCATGTATTCATGTTGTTGCGAAGTCTAGTAATTCTATTGTGACCTTTTCGCATAACTGTTTTAAGGTGATAAAATCTTGTATTTTTATCCCCTTCAACTATCCACTTATGCCTAGATTTCTGAAACCACATTAACTCCTCTTGATCAAGAGTTACATTTAGTAAATTCTGCAGGTATTTCTCCATTTCTTGTAG